AGACAGACGGACAGGAAGTTTCGGCCGGGTCGCTGCCTGTTGGTTTTTTTTGAAAGAGTCGCTCGTGTGTGCGTGACACCGCCGCGCCGCGCCGCTCCGCTCCCTCCCTCCTCGCTGAGCTGCGTTTGTCTAGGCCCAGCTCCCTTGCGGAGATCCACGCGTAATTGCTTCCCCATGGTTGCTCTGGGATTGGGGGTCAGACGGGCCCTGCCAGGTTCATCGCCACCGACTTGTCTTCCTGCAAAGAGAAGCAGACTAGCTCGCCCCTGCCCCTGCCCCTCCGCGTGCATCGCCTGGGCTCCCGCGGGTCGCGCTCTCCGGGGCGCAGCGCTACTGAAAGCCGAAGGCCCGTGCGGTGTTTCTGCACTCGGTGGGAAAGGGGAAAACACGCACCGAGGAGCTCCAGCTTTCGTTAGAAACGCAGAGCCGGTTCCAGAAGATTCACGCAGGCTTTGGAGCCGTAACAGAGCTGTAGAAAACAGCGATGGGAGCTTTCAGGAAGCACAGATTAGGAAGCTAGAGCCCTCCGCTCGCTACAAAGAAGAGAACTTGTCCACAACCAACCTTGGACTGCATTTTGCAGAAGAAACTCAGTGCCTGAGGCTCACGCTCCTTTCCCTAAGCAACCCCAGAGGCTCTGAACCGTAAGCAGGAATAGCCTTAATTTCCGGCTGACAATGAAATTCATATTTCTTGATGCTGAAGTGTAATTGCTGTGACCCGAGACCTTCCGGGTCACACGTGCGTAACCTGGAGCTTCTGTTAGAGGGTTTTTCTAACACTTCTGATGTTACTGTTGGTTCAAAAATATTTTGAAAACCCTTCCCTCTGTGAGCGGTGGCTTTGGCACTTCTAACAGCAACAAGAATTTTTTTTTAATCTAGCTTGCTTTATCGGTAGCTAACTTGCCAGTTTCTCTCCACGGCTTGACTAACGGAAGGTCTTTGTTTGCATTTTTTGGCTCTTATTAACGTTTGGATGTATGGTCTGGAGTGAAAACACTGCAGCAGAAGTTAGCTTCAGACTTTTAAGCAAAGTTTGACTGGAAGCTAACAACCTGTTTGCAAACAATTATGTTTGTATTTGGCTTTGTGTGAAAACGAGGGCGATGAAGCTATTTTATATTAAATTAAAAACGCTCGGCTTCTGCTTTCCGTAAGTTTTAATATAGAAGAAAAAAGATGACTGTGGTTTTTAAAATAATTGGGAACCTAGATTTATTCACGGGGAGTTGAGTGTGGGAGCCTCAGCAACCTAAGTAATAGATGCCCGTGCATGAGATGCAAGTATTTACGCAGCCTGGGAAATAAGGAACTTCAGATAACTGCATAGCTGAGATATATTTGATTCACAATGAGCCTGAACTCGGTCCCAGGAAAGTTGATGGCAAAACTGTCACTGACTGAGATGAAAGCAAAATTGGGCTCTTGCTCCTAACATCCTTGCAAGCAAGCCAGGACTGCTCTTTAACTGATTCTCTCTATTTTAAATCTGTGGGAGCCATTGTGAATCTACACAGAGTTTTCTAAGGAGCAACAGGACTGTCTTACAGTGTTCCAATGTTGTTGGGTTCAGACAGCTGTGCCTGCCAGGGGAACCAGGCCATGAAGTATACCAGACTTTCCGAGAACCAGAGGCTTGCCCTCCAGTTGGAGAATGCCCTTGCCAGGGAGGCTCGGCTTTGGAAGGCGCCAGTCTTTCAGAATTTCACACTGAAGGTATTTTTCCTGGTCTCTCAGGGAGGGAACGTGGGATCCAGATGAGTTTCCAAAAAAAATTACTTAAAATGCAGTCCTGATCCTGTCGTGTGTCACACATGTATGGAAGGGTCAGTTAGCAGGGATGGGATTGCAGGATAAGGGTCCATGCTGATCTAGGTTTGAACTGAATGTTGTAACATGTTTGTGCCAAAACAACCAGAAAAACCATGAAAAACCCTGGAGCAGCAATTGGATAACAGAAAAGCAAATTTTTAATTGGTTTTTAATCCTTGGTCTGATGCATGCTTACTGGCAAAATCTACTGCATTTCTGTCACTCAAATGAGAGCAAGAGAAGGTATGCTGGGACTCATTCTGTTCTTCCCTCTTTGACTCGCTCTTTTACCTGGGGGAGCCTCTTTACCTTGCCATCTCTGTTTCCCCAACTACTTAAACGGGCAAATAGTGTTTGCCCACTTTTGTAAATTCTCTGAAAGACAGAGCAAGATCGTCTTTGAAATGCATTTCAGCTTTCCCAGTAAGATGGAAGTGCTATGTTCCAGCAAGGCATTATAATTAATGAACCTGGCAATATCCCCTAAATGGATAAGATGAAGAAGGATGTAAAACAGGTTAACGGCGAACATTACCTGAATCATCCTCTTTAATTTCTGCCATGGGCCTATCATACAGTTGTAGGTGCTCTTCCACTAGCATTTAAATGTATGCTGTACATCAGCTATGATTGCATAATGTCAGTAAACAGAAATAACTCTTCCCCTCCCCTTGGAGCAAGTCCTTATGAGAAAAGCTGATAGGCCTGAAAACACATCCTTTCCTATAGTGAACTGGGGCTTTTTCACGTTGGGGGCAAAGTACATGCAAGACACAAGGACTCTCCACTGTGTGCAAAGCTAGGGGCTATCAGTTTAACCCCCTTCAGCCCTCAAGATTCTCTCTCTTCCTGGAATAAGAGTATAATGAGCTGTTGACTGGAGCGTGGAAGTATTTGTATTTTAAATCCAAAGCATGGTTGGGTTTTTTTAACAAACCATTAATTGTGTCTTGACTTTATCTCTGCACCCCAGGGCACAGATATCTCTCCATGGTATTATCAGAAAGCAGTTCTCTGGATTGCAGAAATAAGCTCACAGTTCCAGTTTTACCCAGAAACATTTGCCTTGGCTATCAACTTTCTTAACCGGTTATTGGCATCAGTGAAGGTAAAGATTATCTTTGGCAGTATTCTCTTATGATTTTAACATTAACTAGTAGTGCAAGAGGTACAGAATCGGTTTGCATTTGCAGCTAGGCAAAATGCCAGCCTTTAGAATCATCCAGATAGCGGACTTCTACCAAGTAGAGCTCTCGGGTAGCAACTTGGGTTGTGACTCATGTGAGCACTGAAGTGTATACATAGAGCTGGCTCTGAACTTACATGACTTGAGACATAAGCATAAGGTTAAGTTTAAAGCATATATTTAAATTTTGTTAAGGGGATTATCCTGAATCGCAGTCAAAGGCCATTATAAACACTGACTTCACAATTCACGCAGCTGCTTGTCGCTTATATCCATTCATTGAAAAAAATCAGTAGTTTGTAGAAAATGATGGGCCTGATTTGGACTTGCTGCAGTCCAAAGAGTTGAGTCTAAGCCCTGGTCTGGACTCAAATTAAAGGATGCCCCAGGTCACCAAGCTGGAAATGGGTCGCTACTTTGGGCTGGGGAATCAAAGGTAGTCAGGCTCGACTCTATCCTTGTGTACCATTGGCTGCAGATCAGGTGCACCTTAAATCACTCTAGCTGCATAGGCCTTCCAGGCTTGGGTGGTCTTTGACCTTATTTGATGGATCAGATCCTTCTCGCTGAAATCAGTGGCAACACTGAGCAGAAGAACTGAACCTCTCATGTCTGATTGCCCAGCTTCTGATATGGCATTGGGAAAAATGCAAACCTAGCATTCAGCCTGAATTATGACACTGCAGTTTAGGATGCAATCTCCATTGGATGTTCTCAGGAATGGTGAGATCCTACAGTGAAAACTCACCTGCAGCAAGGAAGGGATTTACTCCACTTTAATTGTGGCTTGCCTTGCTTTTTTATAGTTTCAGGTTAACTTTTACGTAACAGAAATTAAGGTCTGAGGTCAAAGCAGGTGCAATACAAGCTGAAGTTTAAGCACTGTGCAACTCAGTAGCAGCTGCTGATTTTATGCAAAAAAAGTTGTATATGCTCAGTGTTTTGCTTTTTCCCTTCAGGCGCAGCTAAAATACCTTCGGTGCATTGCAATTGCCTGTCTTGTCCTTGCAGCAAAAATCAACGAAGAAGATGAGGTCTGTTTAATTTTAAGTACCATACACGTATTCCTGGGCATTGTTTAAAGTAATTCACATTTCCGGGCTTTTGCCAATGGTCACCATATCTCCATGCCTTGATTAAGTCATCTGTACCATGGGAACAGCACCATGGGGACTTGTGTTAGCATTGCTTAACTAACATTTGGGAAGTTCTAGGACTCCGTTGGATGAAAGGTTTATTATTAAGGCTCTGTGCTTTTGTTGTGGTGCAGTGATGGGCAACTAGATGGAAGAAACAAGAGGGTTATTGTTCTCCAAAGGAAGGTTAGAAGATATGTGTTTGTAACTTGCTTGGGGCAAATTATACAAACATGGATTGGGTCTCGGTTGATTTACGGTACTCAAATTCAGCAACTGCATGCTTGAATTTCATATAATCTATGAAAATGGTCTGGTTTTAATCATATGGCTAAAATCTCTTGCAGCATTTTGAAAGTATTTACTGAAAAATCTATTATGGATTCTTCTTTCACCTTTTTTAAAAAGATCATTTATAATGACAGAAGCTTAAAATTGTTTCTGCAAAACACTTAAGACTGAGGCAGAAGGATTTAAAAAAATCGAAATCTAGCCAAACCTCTCTCTTTAAAATGAAACAAATGGAGAAGAGCCCTTTGTTCAAGGCCTTTTAAAATATCATGAAATACAAGAACATGCTGGAACTTGAACGTTCTTTGAAAATGTCTGTGTCTTGGAAAGCTGTCCAGGAGTGCGCTCAAGCCCTCACTCAATGCATGTTGGAGGTTGTCAGGCAGTATTTCTCCCCAACTATGCAAGAGAAGTTGAGTCGGTGACCACAGGAAATCAGATGACCAGAATTAAAGACAAAAGCAATGGCACAGGTCAACAGGAAGTTTCAGAGATGCTGTCACAACAGCAAAGTAGAGAGACTGAGGTAGCAGTGTTCCTACATCATAGAGTGTATATTGAACAGGGTCACGTTCCTCCCTGCTTCTGTGCAACATGACCCTCTCCCCTGGCCTTAATAGATTGGTACCCAGTTACAGCTGGCAGTTTGACACAAGACATTTGTCTGGGACAGGAGTTACTGAGGAAAATTTGCATGCTACTTGGCAGGCCAACCAGTCAGGTCCGTTTTCATGTGCATACAAATAACCGCAGACAACCTTGTGTAGGAAGTTGGCTTCTTTATTATTTATTATTTTCAATTTGTACAGGTAATACCATCAGTGAAGAAGCTTGCAGTGCAGAGTGGTTGTAAATGCTCTCCAGCTGAGATTTTGAGAATGGAAAGAATTATACTAGATAAACTTCACTGGGATCTTTACACAGCAACACCTATGGAATTCTTAAACACTGTAAGCACTACATTTTGCAAAAGCCTAAACTAATTTTGCTTCTCTCTCTCATTTATTTATTTTTAAGTAAACAGCTCTCTCACCAGATAAGACTAGAAAACACAGATGCGCTCACATGCGCGCGCGCACACACCCCTCACCTATGCAGTGACTTGCAAAGCCACTTATTTTTAGCTATCTGCAAGACTTTTAAAGAACGTGACAGTGACAACGTTTTTGTTTGAAACATACTGCCATTCCAAACTTTCCATTTTTTTTTCAAAAATTATTCAACCAGACTCCCATTTTTAAAGGACAACTAAAATTGACTTTAAAAAGATTCTCATACTGCACAACTATACTCCATTTTTATTATTTTTTTAAAATACACACTGCAAAAATATTTCTAACTATTTCCATTCTATTAATACTGTACATAGAAAGCTGTCAGAGTGTTTGCTACATCTCACACACCAGTGTCTTCTAAACCCATCTCTCTTTCCCCTGCTGTAACTTGACCCTTGTTTTAGGTTTTAGACCATACTGATCTGGCACTTAGTCACATTGTGGTTGCTAAATATTTTATAGAAACAACAGAACTTTTCTCTAAGAAATGAATGTATGCTGGTAAGGCAAAAATCATGTGGCACAAACATGTCATGAGCATTTGTTCTTATGGCAATGTGAGGGTACTTAACCCATGTTAGGCTGTTGATTGATTATGACAACTGCCTAACATAGCCAGGTGCTTGCAATCTGAATCTGCTGAGAAGACTGAATAGTGACAATTGCTTTTACTCTCATCTGCTGGTCTAAATATGTTTTGCTTGTTTTTTTTATTTGAGTATCTGAACCAAGATTAACTTCCTAAACTGGCCATCCTGGTAATGCAGTGACTTCAGAATTTCTGCTAGAAAACACAGACCTTTACATTCATTATAAGCTTGAAACAGTTCAGTGGTTGGCAAGTACAAACACAAACCAAGTCACACATGGTAACAAGGAAAAAAAAAAATCTCTGAGCTTCCTGATATGAATCAAAATTAGCTTGCGCTTTTGGTCAATAACATGAAACATACAAAGTTCACTGTTGACCTTTGCTTTTTTTTTTTATATATATATATTTTTTTTTTTTTCTCTTCTCTCCAGTTCCATGCCATGGTGATGTCCAATTGGCCCCATCTACTAAATGGGTGGGCTCAGATGAATCCTTCCCGCCATGTTGCATTCTTGACCAAACAGCTACAGCATTGTATGGCATGCCACCAACTACTGCAGTTTAAGGGCTCCACATTGGCTTTGGTGATCATCACCTTAGAGTTGGAGAGGCTGATGCCTGACTGGTTTCCTGTTATTACTGATCTGCTAAAAAAAGCACAGGTAGGAGTCAAAATGGCCTCCAACCACAAACTTGAGGCGTATGCACAGATAAATTCATAAAGCCTGTTCTGTAATTATAGTCAATATTGCTGCTGTTAAATGTGCGTTCTCAGTTACATATGCATCTTGGGACCCATCTTCCTTTTGCTACAAACTCAGTGATAATGGGAGTAACACATTTATGGAGGAGTGTCTCAAATGTGATTCACAGTCTGTAACTGGGATTTCTAGCAAGAGCTTAGCATCCCACAGCTGCCGTTGTTCTCTGTGGGACTTGCAAGGTGCTCAGCACCTGCACATGCCTATCCCTTAAGGTTTAGGGCTGCAAGAATCTATTAGTGCATTTATGCCAGCTGAAAAACAATTGGTCTTGGCAGTTATGGATAGAGGAAGGCCATACCCCACCTCCAGAGCATCTGTGTTTCTTGAAACTGAGTCATTACTACTGATTTACAAAAACACGCATGCTCTTTAAAAATATGGCCACTGTCTGCAGCCTGAAAGCCTGTAGCCCAAGGATTTATTCCCAAATTTGCTACTGGCTCATTATCTCACCTTGGGCTAGTCAGCCACTTAATCCACAGGCCCTTGTCTCCTCACCAGGAAATCTGGGATAAAATATTTACCCACCTTTTGCTAGGTACTTTGAGATCTACAGAGGTGAAGCTCTATGTCAGTGCCAAGATATTATAAACTATAGGCAGAGGAAGTCTGATGCATTTTCTCTTTTCACCGAATATATTAGACTTGCACATTTAATAGAGCATTGACCAGAGTACAGAATAATTTAACAAGCTGGAGGGGAAAAAAAAAAAATCAGACCTGTTTCTGTCATTACAGGTAGACAGCGTCAAGTTTATCCACTGTAAAGAGCTTGTGGATCAGCAGCTGCTGCTTTCACAAGCATCCAATGCCGTTTATATTTTTAATCCTGCCAACCGAGTCATCCAAGCCCGTCCCAAGGGAAGTCTGCCCTACCCTTATCCTGAACTGAAGATTTCACAGGAAGTTAGTTCGAAGATGACCACGAACCAGTCAGTTCCAGCAACTTTTGTGCCTATGACAGCCAAAAGCTGTGACGAGAGCATGGAGACAGACGAGTTCTACGATGGGTTCAGGCATCTGTACAATGAGGAAGGAGTCCCAGAGGGTGGAAGGGCTAGTATTGCTAATTCACGCAATAATCTGGTACAGGGGGAAAATGGATCTCCTTGTCCTCCATTACAACCCCCTGAAATAGCTTAGAAGAGACCGTAGCTGCAGCCGGTACGTAGGTCAAGACAAATGGAATAGTAGATGCAGCAAAATGGAAGTACTGGGGGTTTCTGCTAGGATAATGCCAAAAGGCTTAACTTGCTGCCTCCTAAACCAGTGTTTGTTTGCTCCTTTCCCCCAGTTTTTACTTGAGCTGGACGAAAGCCCCCACAGGTATGAATAGCTGAAATCAAACAACTCAGGGATGTGAGTTCAGCAGATGGGGGCTGCACACTGCATTGGGGGAACCAACCTTCTTGGGACACTTGCTTCTGCTCCCAGTTGTGTCCGCAATGTGACAGCTTCAGCCATTTCACTGAGACTCCCAATATTGCCTCTCCTCTCTCAGACTTTATAATTTAAATAGCTGCATTTGAGAGAAGCAGGAGGTGCAATGTGGTGATGGGAGCATTGCACTTACAACAGGTCTGCTACACTATTCCTTGGTGGGACCAAATTTAGGACTGTAAGAGCAAATGGTGAGATGCTGTGAGAGTAGTCCACACTTCCAGGTAAGAAACCCCAGTTCTATGTGGGCCTGATCCCACAATCGAAGGGAGCATTGGGTGCTAAGCATCTTTCAGAATCAAACCATGAGGGCCTAACTCAAAGCTCATTACAACAAATGGAAGACTTCCCCTGGATTCCAGTGGGCTTTGCCTCCAGACTGCACAGAGTAGGCTGTGCAACTCCATTCTGTTCACATTGCAACATTCCTTTCTTTCCCTGCCTTCCCAAACTTCTCATAAGGGGTATTTAAAAAAAAAACATCATCTTTGCCTTACCTGCTCCTCTTTGCAGCAAAGCAGTTAAATTGACTTTCACAGTGTGTAACCGTTTCTCACTTTTAAAGCAGCTTTATACATTTTCTAAAGGAAAGGGTAGGTTTATTACTCTTTACTACTTTTTTTTTAATGGGGCCAGGTTTTTAAGGTGACTGTGTGTGTTAATTTGGAAGCATAAATCAGAACAGTACTGTGCAGTAATAGTGCAGGCACAGATCCTGCTAGTTCTGGCAGTCTAAAAGCCCCTTATGGGTGTGTGTAAGGATGACCTTTGCCAGGGCTCATCATATAGAGCATATGCCAGCAATGGCCCCTTCCATTTACTCTTGATGTAAACCTGGAGGCAGGGTCATGGACTCAAGTGCCATCCTCATGCTGATAATGGTCTTACCCAAACCTTGATCTGCTAGACAACAGCACTCACTGGTGTAAGATGAGGTTTCTTGCTCATCTCTTCTCACCTTGTGCTTATGGGAGTTGCTTCTCTGCACCTGTGTTTGCAGGATCTCAGTCTTAGATTAGTGGGTAAATTAGCAGATTTAATTTAGGGATTGTTCTGTTGAAATGCTGCCAGCGGGGAGATGAGCTTCATGTGCGTGCATGTGTGTGTTTAGGCAGCATCTTATTTTTTTTAAACTGCAAAAAGCATGGTGCTAAATGTACCAAAAATTTGCTACTGAAGTGAAGACTTAACGCAAGTGCCAGTTGTGAGTACAAGTGCATTCAAATAAGCACTGGGACTCTGGGAGAAATTGTCAGGGTCACCACAAACTGTGAATGCTGTGCTTTCAGGAGTGCGAACAAGAAGATTCCTTACAGATGGTTGGTCTCTGCACAGCCTGTGTGATTGCAAGGAGGTAGTGTGAAGTGGAAATGAAAAATAATGCACTATTCCAGAATAGAAAATGTTTACAAGCCTTGCACACATCTGGATGACTATTTGTGGAGGGGCTTGGAATGTTATTTATTCATCCTGCCTGAGTAGCATAAGGAAGGTTTCCATTTTGTGGTAGGACCAAAAAAAAAAAAAGAAAGAAAGAAAAAGCAGCACCTTCCTTTTCTATTGTATACTGTGACTTGACTGCCTGACTTTCAAAAAGGCAAGTTGTCTTTTGTAGTTTTCATTAAATAAAACATAACCCAAGTCCTGGCTTCCTGAGTGTGTTCTTTGAGCTGCAGAACATAAGAGTCTGGAGTGGAACCATATTCTGCTCTGACTCCAGTCTGTTCAGTTCCTGTGAATCTAATGAAGTGAACCTGGGTTCACAAAAGCTTGTGCTCCATATATCTTATTTAGTTAGTCTGTAAAGGTGTAGATCTACTTTGCCTTCAGTCCCTATGAAGCCGGTGGTACTGTGTTAGGGTATCCTGTCAGGGCCCAGTTTGGGCTCAGGATCATTTCCTCATGCAACTTCTCTCCCTTTACTATCCCTAGCATGGCTGCAGTCAGAACCACAACATGCAGATGCAGCGCTAATCTAGACGAGCAGTTAACAGGTAGAAAACTACTGTGGCAAGTTACAGTACAGGTAGCTACTCTAGTCTATGCTGACTCCTTGTCCAGACAGTCATTTATTTCCTAGAACAGACAGAAGAACAAGTGTGGTATCTTCTCCTGAGTCTGAGCAATGCTTTAGCATTTCACCTCCTGATGCATGCTTAAGACGAGGCTTGGTTTGGCCACCACTAATGCACTGTGCAGGTATAAGCTTGGTCTCATTCATATTAAGGCTGAATTCTTCAGCTAACATTGAATTACAAAAATTGACTCAAGGGAAGATAAACCTGAAACATTTGGTCTGGGACTGGAAGGGCCCTGGGAAAGAGGGAGTGTAGCCTATCTCAGTACTGCAAACACCTTCTCACCTATTAAGTGGTCAGTAAATGGGTTTGATTATTGCTGGTAGCAAACTTTTCTAGGCTTTGTTTCATCACTTCATGTAGCATGTGAAATTATCTACAGTAAATCATTTGTGCAACTCTTTCTTCAAGATGTTTCCTCCATCCTCATTTCCTTGTTGACATGCAAGCATTTTGAGATTCTGACTCGCAAGCAAAACATAAATGTGAACCATCACATAAGCATGTATGTACAGAGTAAAATCTTGCACTCCTCTCCCTGACCTCATCAGGTCTCTCATTTATGAAACATACCCCAATGGAAAAGGTTATATGCTACAGTTAAAGCATGTTGCAAACAATCGGATCCAAGTGCGAAGAAGTTCCTGCAGACCAGCGTTCGTCAGAGTAGGTTTATCACTACAGCACTTGATGTGCAGTGATCTACCAGAACATTTAATTTATGCAGCTACACAAATAAGGAAATTCTTGTGGCCAGGAAAAGAGCAATCAAAAAGAAAAAGGAGTTTTAGATTCATAACTCTTTTCCCTTAAATCAATTTCCGACAGGGCCAGGAATGAGCTAACATTTCACACAAAGACACCTGGCTACAGTAGAACTGGCTTCAGAATTGTCACTGCGTCAAGTCCATCAAATATCCTATCTCCATCAGGTACCAACACCAAAATCTTCAGGAAAGAGTTGTAAAAAACTAGACAATTAACCCTCCAACTAGACAACGCAGCAATGTGCCGGGGAAAAAGTCTCTTCCCAAATTCCAGTCAGTTACTAGCTCATAGTTTTGCAGCATGACAGTCAAAACACTAGATATATTTTACCTTAAATTAAGGTAACCAACAACATTGTATCAATGTCACACTGCTTTTTAAAAAAAAAAAATAAATGCTACAGTAAATTCTACTGTCTTAATAGCCAGAGACAGTGTGTCCCATCAGTGTGTTATGCTTTCCGTATAAAGGATTTCCCTTTCTATCACCACCACCATATACATTTTAGTGAGTTGCTAGTGCATTTCTTTTAAAACTGGCTTTACAGCTTTTAGTCCACTTAGCTCATACAGTGCTAGCAATGCACTGGAGGGCTACCCTGTCCTAGCACTATGTTACCTCATATAGGAGTTTTCAGCATCTTCCCCACGGGCATCTTCTCCTGGGCATGTGCTTATGCTCGCGTTCCTCCTCTTCCAAGATGTAGCCACAGCATCAAACAAGTTATACAGATACTCTGAAATGCTTGTAGGAGAGTTTAATTTTAGTTTGTTAACATGACAAAGCCTCTATTGCTATTTAAAGCCTCACCTAAGGTGCTCTATTAGTCAGCCTCAAGGAACAAAAACTCTCAAAACCCACAATCATCCAGGTGTGTTTGAACTAAATTATTTTGGCAGGGACATTCTGATGATCCTCTCCTAGGACAGGTCACCTTCGGCAGGCTGCCAAGTGCTGAGCTCGTGACTGCTAGGAGAAGATCATCAGAACTGATCCTGTTCTCAGCACAGACCTACTCCCACTGCAGTACAAGGTGTCTTACCATTGGCTTTTACGGCAGCAGCAGCAGCTAGCACGCAATCCATTGTGCTCAACTGAAGTTTTGTTTCAGACTCCACGATTTGGCTCATGGTGCAGGCCCCAAAAAGGTACATATCTAATTGTTGAGCAGAGCTCTGGCTCCACGTGGTTCTGGGTCCTACTCCGATGCTTGTGGAATAAAAACCTCCCTCCAGACTCCTGTCAGGGACAGCCCTAAGCATGAGGAAGACCCTCATCGAACAAAAGCTGGCGCCCATACCACACGGCCCCTTCTTCAAGGCACGTGCTGGGGCAGAGAAGGTGGCAAGATCAGGATCTCCTGCTGGCTGAAAATGTTCAGCAGTTTAGAGCAACTCCTAGGCTTCTTTAACATGTACTGGAGGTCAGGAGAAGTGAGGAAACAATACATACTGTGGAGCGGTAACCAGCCCCCTGCCAGCACCCAACCATGTTTTTATATTTACTTATTTTGAAAGAGACAAACAGAGGGGACTTGCATTTAGGACTTAAATTTATGGTTAGTTATGACTCTGGACAGAGTGCTCTACTGTTTCACTGGATATATTTAGATTTATTGCAAAATACACTTTTAAAGTTTAGGTTCATTTAATAATTCTGCTTTTTACTAAACCTACCTTTGGTGCAATCAGGGATAATTCTTGTAACTGGTTTATGAGTTCACTTTAAACAAAAACAGAAAATAGGGTTTTTCTGTATTTCTACATATGCCCAGTTTGATGCACAGAAAATGTGCGGGTTTTTTTTTTTACAACAGGTATATGCCTACAGGGTAGATACTGTGGTATAATGTATATACCCTACAATCATGAACTCTACTTGTTTCCAAATCTTTATTTTCAGAATCTAATACCTACAACCGTATCCCCTCCCTTAACATATGTCATTTAGTTGTCCTTTAAAATGGTCCCCTTGTCTCTCAATACAAACATTTGCAGATAGAAAAGGATCCTGGAATTGCAATCCCGTATTACCCATAATTAAGGAATCAAGTGCAAGCACAGAAGTTAGGGAGAGGGAGCTTTGGGAAAGGGATTTTAAACATGAGGCACGTGTGTTATTGTGGTAAAACTGAATAAATGAAAGGGTTTTTTGGTCTATAAAAACTTTCACCATAAATCTACATTGAAAAAATTATACAGAGGAGTTATTGCTAAGAAATATTAGAATCCAGCTGATATGTTAAGGACATTAAAAAGTCTCTAGTTGCATTCCAAAACCAAATTAAGAGAGGAACAAATCAAAACCCATTGTAATGACAGCTTAAACAGCAAGCTGAAAATTGGTTTCATGCTGACACACCAAGATTGTTCCTCTGCTACTTGGAAACTTTGTTCACAGTGTAAGTGCTTACAATGCCTGCTTTGTAAGGATTCTTAACCCCAAAAGTTAGTATTTTGGTTTTAGTGCATGCCATGCATTTAGCCTCAATTAGTGTTTTATCCTTTGGTGAATATCTTAGATTTCATTTATCAAGAAACCTGGTCAAGGAAACTTCTCCAAATCAAAAAGTATAGTACGTCTTAGTTCTTGCTATATAATCTCTTCTGTGCAATATATTGCAAGCTTAAAAGGTAAAAGCACCAATTAATTTCTTCTGCATGAGATGTTTTGGCCTTAATAAATCTTCTAATTAACATGTCTTCCTGATGTTATGGAGCACGCACTGGGAAGATTAAAAAAGCTACAGAAAGAACAAAAGAGAATCAATATTTAAGTTTCAGATAAATCGCATCAAATGTAGACAGCATAAAAGGTCAAAGCAGCACAAATCCTAATGTATGTAGTGTGGTGACATGCAGGGCTAGGAACAAGAGGCATGTTGGATTTTGAACAGCGAGTGCTTTGAGGAAGGATTTTATCATTATCCAGATCTAGGTTGGAACTGGGGGTTTAGAATTGCAACTAGTAACGCTGGAGAAACATGATCACCACCGCACTGGAAATCTCACATGCTATCAAAACACTTCACTGGGAGCAGAGGATGATGGCATCTCCCTCCCTTATACTCAAGTTTAACATAACAGCAGGTCTCTAGTGACTGGTTAATTCAATGGAAACAGAACTTTCAATGATTAGGTGCCAAGATTTGCAAGCCTGTCCGTCTACCAGGGACTCAAAAACTTGATATACTTAGTTGCTACACAGCTCATCCTGTTAAGCAGCAATTGGCTGGGAGGTGAATGATCTGGGTTTTGCGGTTGATCCAGGGCAACAAATGTGTGGCCTGACCTTGGAACCAGCTGTTTGATCTCCAACTCTCAAGTTCCCCTTCTGTAAAATTCCCCATCCATAAAATTATTCCTCCTTCGCAGCAGGGTCATTAATCGTATTAAGCCTAAGTGTTTGTACAAGCCTGTGCCATCTTTATTTGGAAGGTGCTAAGATGTGCAATAAAATTATACTACAGTAATTTCTGTGTTTAGAGAAACACTGTACCAAATTTATCAAGTATTCAATCTTAATTATACCAGATACTAAAGCAACAAGCATTCTTCTCAAGGATTTCTCAATACATCTCACTTATCTGTACAGATCCTCCCACTGTCCTACTAGAATGCATAGTTTTTAAAATGTTTGGAGAGAAAAAGCTGCAAAATGGTTCCTACAGACCACTTGGTATCAAATCCAGGCTCAAGTTTCAAATAGTTGAAAGACGCTCAAATGATTCAACACATATCAAGCCCTTTCTTCACTGAACGTTTCACAGGTTACTCCACCGTGTACAAATAATTC